ACCAAACACAAAATAGTAGCTGTTGTATCTCCTCTGTGGATCCAGTTGCCAAAGTGAGTCATGAGGCTTAGCCACTTCTCAACTGTTTTGTGCCTGGCACCTGAGGATCCTAACAGAGTCTCCTGAGAGTGATCCAGATCTTTACATCAGGGTTTCTTGACTAGAAGCCCATTGGATCATTTGGGATTGAGGAAGGGAGAAGGAAGAAGGTACTGACATTTTCCTCTAAGGAAGTGTGCTCTAAGAGTAACATAGTATCCCAGGGTTTGTTCAGTCACAAGCTTCTGGGACAGACAACACTTGAAGAGAAACACCAGGAGCTCTTTGAGACAGTGGTCATCGAGGCTGTATGGCACTCCTTATGTCTCCACATCTGCACTGTGTGCAGGCCCATAGAAGCAGTGGAAACCACTGTGGGGGTTTTTTGTTGTTGTTGTTTTGTTTTGTTTTTTGTCAGTTGTGGGGCCTGACTCTGGGCCTGGGCACTGTCCCTCAGCTCTTCAGCTCAATGCTAGCGCTCTACCACTTGAGCCACAGTTCCACTTCCGGCTTTTTCTGCTTATGTGGTGCAGAGGGATCCAACCCAGGGCGCCTCATGGATACGAGGCAAGCGCTCTACCACCGAGCCACCTTCCCAGTCCCCCATTGTGTTCTTGAGCCCAGGAGCTATACTTCTGTCACCACCCAAGAGCAAGCGACATCAAAAGCTCCACTAAAGCAATTGATTCCATCCAGCAAGTTCTAGATATTTTCAGGTAATGTTTTAGCCTTTAAGGAAACACCAGTGAACTAAACAGACGAGTTCATTTCCTGGAACTTATTTCTAGAGAAGTAGAGACAGACAACAAATAACTTATAAAAATGTATGTAATACACCAATTACTCAATGGGCAAAGAAGTTAAGAAGATACTTCTCAGAAGAAGAGGTAAGAAAGGCAAAGAAACACATGAGGAAATGCTCATTATCCCTGACCATAAAGGAAATGCAAATCAAAACAACCCTGAGATTCCACCTTAGATTGGCCAACATTTTGAATTCTGACAACAACAAGTGCTGAAGGGATGTGGGGGGAAGGAATCCTACTGCACTGCTGGTGGGAATGTAAACTAATACAACCGCTCTGGAAAGCAGTGTGGAGGTTCCTCAGAAAAGTAAACACAGACCCAGCTATACTCCTCCTTGGCATCTATCCTGAGCAGCATGAGCCAGGATATGGTAAAGACACCTGCACATCCATGTTCACTTCTGCACTATTCACATTAGCCAAAATATGGAAACAGCCCAGATGCCCCACAGTAGATGAATGGGTCCAAAAACAAAACAAAACAAAACATGGTACCTATATACAATAGAATTTTACATTGCCATTACAACGGTGAAATATCCAAGCATCTCTTTGTATGTATATAAAATAACAAGCATACTAAAATGAACTCCAAAGATAGGAAAACAAAGGATTTTTCCCTTTTTCTGATGACTCTTCTTTACCTTATATTCATGTGCACACCTGTGGGAGGGTGGAGGGAGGACCCAGAATCAGAGGAAAAAGGGTGAAAAGGTGCAGCAGTGGAGGGCACTGGCTGCACTGGACATTGATGGAAGTGAGCTATGCAACTGGTGGGTGGAGATGGGAGGGAGGCTTGGGACAGAATGAGGGAAGAGCTGACATTATGGGAAAAGAAATGTACTTACCACCTGACATATGTAAAGGTAACCCTGCTGTAAATCACCTCTAAAACCATAAAGTAAGGTAGAAAAAAATGTATGTAATAAAAAAATAAGTTACATGTTAGAAAATGATGAGTGTTTTAGGAAACAATTCAAAGATGATAAAGACAATGGGGAGAGATTACAGATAGGACTCACATTAAGGTAGGAAAATGAGTTATCTATCCATATTGTGTTTCTGTGGCTGCACCGTGTATGACCTAGGTCCTACTTAAGTCAGACTGAAGTCAACTGCCATTCACTGGAAAGCTGTTCTACACAGGACAATCTGCCTCCCCCAGTTCTTCCAGCCAGCTTCCCACAGGCCTGTATCAAGTTCTGTTCCTGTGGCAAAAGGAACTCCCCCCTTCCACGGACACTTCCCCCAGTCCTTCCTGTGTCTAGGGCCCCTTTCCATCTTACCACTGCTTCACTGCGGGTCTGGTCTGAACCAGCACCACCTCTGACCTGGGTGGCCCAGGCAAGAGATCTTCCTGTCACACTTATCAACCCTTACCCACCCAGCAGCCAGGGATTCTTTTCATGCTGCTCTCGAATGTCTTTCCCACCAAAGGCTTCCCATAATTCTATGAGTAAGACCTCAATTACTTTATGCGATAAGGGTAAATCATTCCGCCCTTCTCTCCCTCTGCTCTTCCAGTATTCAGGTTGCAGGTCCTCCCTATTCGTTCTCTGACCTCTTCTCAGGACACTTGTCCCTCTCTTCTTCCCCAATGACTTCATGCCAACATTGGTCTCAAAGGGGCATAACATGAAGAAAAATAGGCACCCAATACAACTCTGGTTTTGACAGACAGAGAGCACTCCCTCTTACACATCTGCTTCCCTGCACTTAGAAGTCGTCCACAAACCAGTGTGGCATGTGGAGGATGATACTTATGAACAAGTATTTACGAAGAACTATGTCATCCTCCAACTTGTCAAAACCTCCTCCAACATGTCAAAACCAGAGTTGTCTTGGCCAACCCTGATGGATTTCCATCAGGGACATTCAACATGCCACAGGAGGAAGATGCTGGTTTCACAAGTGGCCCAAGCAGGCTGATACTTATTCATCTTCCTTCTGGAATTACTTATTCTCCCTAGGTGGCCTACATATCCCTTTCTTCTTTCCTTCGAGATGATATAGATAACCCTGTGGGGTTTACTGGTATTGGGTGCTTACTTTTCTTCACGTTATGCCCCTGGGCATGATAGCTAATCTTTCTGTCATCATCTTCTGCTCATCTGCCCACTGTCCCTTTATTTCAGAGGCTCAATTTCCAACCTGTAGAGACTGAAGGGAACGCACTTCCAGGGCTACTATGAGAACAAAATGAAATGAAACAATGCCAATGACAGTGTTCTGCATACTACCATGTACTCAAGAGAACTCCAGCTCTGTCCTTGTTTGGGTGCCCAGAAAAGACTTTTTTTTTGTCAGTCCTGGGACTTGAACCTTTGAGCCTGGGCCCTGTCCTTACCTCCTTTTGCTCAAGGCTAGTACTTGAGCCACAGCACCACGTCCAGCTTTTTCTGAGTAGTTTATTGGAGATAAGAGTCTCACGGACTTTCCTGTCTGGGCTGGCTTTGAACCACGATCCTCAGATCTTGGCCTGAGTAGCTGGGATCACAGGCATGAGCCACTGGTGCTCAGCAAAAAAGACTTCTTGGTTGGCCAGTGGCCTGAGTTATTTCAATGATAAGACACTCTCAGGAGCCATACCATGGGCCCTTTGGTAACTTGGGACTGCAGACATTACTACCCCATGCTGAAGGCAAACTGCCCTGGAGCCTGCTGTGGCACAGCTCCATGGACACTGCTTCCCCCTCCTCCCCATGCTCACCACAGTATCAGTGCACGGGCCTGTGTCATGGACAGTAAAAACAGCCTTGGTGTAGGAGGAATACACCAAGAATTCAGGACTTTTGTCTCGCTCTCCAGGGACATGTTCTGCCCTAATGCTTAGCTTGTAGAGCTGCACTGGAGAAAGTCTTCAGAATTCAGTCTTCGTCTTCCTCAACAATACAAAAGGCCCTTTCCCCAATAAAATACAGGGAAATACATAAAGAGAGAAAGCAGAATTGTTCTAGCTGAAATGGTGGATAAGAAGCTCTGTTAGCCCAGATGACTTATGTAGCTGGTCTGCGAGGTTCTTTACAGATGGGGACTACTCAGACATCTACATTTTAAGGCCTTTGAAAATAATACTTGCTTCCTCCTTGTTTACTTTTGGTATTATTTTCCATCCAGTAACTGACAGTAGCTGCTTAAACGTATGTATGAATGGATGTACTGGAGACTTTGCATGACAGGCAAGTACTCTACCACTGAGCTACATCCCTAGCCCCAACTTTTCCCAGTGTAATTCACAGCCTAAAATAACATGCCTTTGAAACAGCACTCTGTTTTCCACAGTTCCACCAAATCCCTTAGATCTAAAGGGAAATTACTGAAATAGCAGAAAACTGGCTACAGACAGGAATAGATCATGAAACACCAAATCAACATAATTTGTATTGTTTTTCTGGCCTGGTTAGACTATAGGTCTAGAGGCAATAAATCTAGCATTTGGCAGAGACTGCATTCACTAGGAAATGAGATCTGTGCCCAACAGGTTCTACTTGCTGTTATCTCTATTCCAGTAACTCATTGCAAAATGGGTCTAAAGAGCCCTGTGGTGTCCCAGAAAAATCTCCGGCCAAGGCACTCTGGGCTCCAGTTCCAGTCCTTTCTCAATCAGGGACAGCCGTGATCAAGCCCATGTTTCTCAGAGCCTAAATCACCCTCCCAGTCCTAAGGTAGGCACAGAACACCCTCCAGTCCAGCCAGGAGACCTTGGAGTGGAAGACCAGCAGATAAGAGTGAGATCACTATCTTGCCTTGCGTAGGTCCCTGGCCCTCTGATCCTTCATTTTCTAATCCTGGTATAATAAAGGGACCTAGGGTAGTTTTTGTTTGTTTCTTTTTTTTTTTTTTTTTTTGGTGCCAGTTCTGGGACTTGAATTCAGGGACTAGGCATTGTCCCTGAGCTTTTTATTGCTCAAGGCTAGTGTTCTATCACTTGAGCCCCAGCTCCACTTCTGGCTTTTTGGTGGTTAATTAGAGATAAGAGTCTCCTGGACTTTTCCAACTGGGCTAGCTTTGAACTGTGATCCTCAGATCTAAGCCTCCTGAGTAGTGAGGATTACACGTGAACTACCAGTTCCCAGCCTGGGATGGTCCCTTTACCATTAAGACTTTAGGTTTCCTCTTGGCATCCCTCTGTCCCCTAAGGGTCCCAGTACTTACCCTGGGGCCATGACAGAGGCTGCAGCACAGGAACTCTGAGTCTGGGTACTTACACACTATCTAGATCAGAGGACCACAGACTCTCTGAAGGCAGTGACTTGAATTTTAGATTCTACTTAAAACCAAACAGGAAAAGGAAGCTGAACCAGAGACAAAGGGGAAACAAACTCAAGTTAAAAACTGAAACCTAGGTAGAAAATAGAGAAGCAAACAAGCTAACCAGATCAGGGCCCCAGTGTGGGTGGTTAAGAGCAGAGCACTGCACAGGCCTGAAACTCCCAGAGTGCAAAACCTAAAGCTCTAAGAGTTTCCTATAAGGGCAACAAAGCATGAAGCCTGGGCTGGAGGTGGGGTCAAGGCTGTGGTGATGGTTCTACCAGAGACTAGTAGCCAGCTAAGGGTCTGTCCAGCTAAGGTTTCCATTTGTTTTAGAAAGTGCAGGGCCAGCACAGATGACTTCCAACAGCACCCCCCACCCCCCACCCCGGTCGTGAGAAGGCTGCAAGCACACAAGAAGACTACTGGCTGATCCTCCTAGAACAGAACATAGCATGATGTGCTTGGGTTGCTGGTAAAGGTTGTATATTTGACTGAAGTAAAATCTGTGTTTCTATAAAGAAGGTATTTCTTTCTAATGGATACTTTAGCCAGTAATTTAGAGCCTGAAGGAAACATCTGAGATTATAGGAAACCTGGCTCTATCCCTATTCATTAAGTGAGCATATAGCCTCAATTTTCTCAGCTATAAAATGAGGTGATTAATTCTTTTTCCCCTGCTTTTTAAACCAGCATTAATCGTACGGAAGGTTTCTCTATAACATTTCTACACAGGTATGCAATGTATCCCAATCAATCTCACTGTTAGTCCAGTAGGCTCCTTTTCCAGGACCTGGCAGGCACCTTCCCAGAGAGTCCATCACTAGGCCCATTTGGTACAGGCAGCAAATAATCAGCCTCCCCGCCCCTCCTTTACCTTGAGATGGTACTCCACTGGGGCAGTTACAATCATATAAGGTATCAAGATCCCTTTAAAGTGAGCTTCAGACCCCCTGCCAGGCACGATGAAGTTCCTGGACCACATGTCTCCACCAATGTCTCCATTTCCTAGTCCCCTAAATTCTATAGGTCACCTCAGACAAAGGCCGGTGCTTCTTCTCATTTGTGAGAAGGGGCCTTGCCAGTCCCTGTGTTGGCAAATAAACCTTTCTTTGCTCCATGTGCCTAGACATCTGCATGGTTTTCTGGTAGAGCCTAACACTAACCTCGCTATTACTCTATCCCACTCCCTGCTTCTTAAAACAAGCTCAACACATTCCATCATTCTAATTTAAAACATGCAAACAAACTACTTCAACCATATTGATCTTCATTCACCTCTTTATTAACACTTTCCTTTCCTGATGTTGCTCTTTCCATTCAAACTTGTTTTACTTTACTGTCATTTTCTTTTCCTTTATTGTTTTGAATGTGTATTAATTACACCAAGCGAATTTTGCCATGGTATACCTGACATATTGTTTTCTCCTTCGTCGCTGGGGGTAATTATTTTCCCCAGCTTGACAAAACTCTCACAAAGATTAGTATCATTCCTAATCTTCCCTTCAAATCTGCTGCAAACTGACCAAGAGTTGTATATTGTGTTAGAATAAGAAACAAAACATTAAGGAATGGCATGAATTGTCCTTCCAGTGCTCTTGCAGTTTAGAAATGAAGACTGCCTGGACATGTGATACACCAACCCTGCAGTCTGGATGCAGAAGCAGGAGGATTCCAAGTCTGAGGTCAGCCTGGGCCATAGCGTGAGACTCTGTATTTAAAAATAAAAAGGACTGGGCATGGTGGCTCATGCCTATAATCCTAGCTACTCAGGAGGCTGAGATCTGAGGATCATGGTTCAAAGCCAGCCCAGGCAGTAAAGTCTCTGAGGCTCGTATCTCCAATAAATGACCAGAAAACCAGAAGTGGCACTGTGGCTCAAATGGTAGAGCACTCGCCTTGAGCTGAAGAGCTGAAGGACAGCGCCCAGGCCCAGAGTTCAAGCCCCCTGACTGACAAAAAAAGGAAAAAAGAATGGTAAAAGATTTTTGCCAGCTACACAACAGACAATGGCCTAATGTCTAGAATATACAGAGAATTAAAAAAATTAAACCCTCACAAAACCAACAGCCCAGTTAATAAATGTAGATTACTGAGCTAAAGAGAGTCTTCTCAGAAGAAGTAAAAATGGCCAATAGACACATAGAGAGATGCTCAACATTTCTGACCATGAAGTAGAGTGGCCATTACCAAGAAAATAAACAGTAAGCCAGGCGCCGGTGGTGAAGCCTGTAATCCCAGCTACTCAGGAGGTGAGATCTGAGGATCATGGTTCAAAGCCAGCCTGGGCAAGGAAAGTCCGTGAGACTCAAAGCCAGCCTGGGCAAGGAAAGTCCGTGAGACTCTTATCTCCAATAAACCACTAGAAAACCAGAAGTGGCGCTGTGGCTCAAGCGGTAGAGCACTCGCCTTGAGCTGAAGAGCTGAGGGACAGCGCCCAAGCCCAGAGTTCAAGCCCCATGACTGACCAAAAAAAAAAAAAAAAAAAAAAGAAAAAAGAAAAAGAAAATAAACAATAACAGATGCTGTCAGAGATGCAGCCAAAAAAGGAACTCAATACATTGTTGGTGGGAATGTAGTTTGTTCAACCACTCTGGAAAGAAGTATGAAGGCTCCTCCAAAAATGAAACACAGAACTACTGTAACATCCAGTAGTTCTACTCCTAGGTATTTATTCAAAAGATTACAAACCAGGATACAGAAAAGCCACCAGCACAACCATGTTTACTGCAGCACTATTTGCTAGCCAAGGTCCAATGGAATCAGCGATGCCCCTCAATGGACAAATGGATCAAGAAACTGTTACTTAATGCTGATTGCAAAATATCTGATGTTTTCCTAATCTGTTGAGATTTGTTTCTCACTTAATTTTTCTGTGGTCAGTGAAGCTCCTTGTATGTTTCCTGGTGAGAAGGCAATCCAACTATTGTTATTAAAATGAGGAGTTTTTTGTTCCCTTTTTCGTTTCCTGAAGATGTCAGCCTAAGTGTAAATACCTTCACTCTAGAGAGTGTCTTTCAGTTTCACCCCTCACTTTTTCTGTTTTTCAGACTACTTCTTGTTTCATTAAATAAGTAGTAAGAGTGAACCCTTTGGAAGCAGTTATTTGAAAGGGGTGGGATCTGGGGGAAAAGGGTAGGTGAACAAAGAGAAGAGAGGGAGGATTCAGTCAAGAATCCTTGGAAATTAAGAGTCCGGGAAGGGGTGGGTAGAGGAGGGATAGGTAACATTGATCAAAGTGTACCGTATTCATAAACTGCTTTGTTAAGTGGCAACTCCTTTGTACAACTACTTAAAGATAATTTTAAAAATAAATAAAACATCAAAAACAAATGAAGAGGAAGCGGCGCCATTGGCTCACGTGGTAGAGCACTCGCCTTGAGCTGAAGAGCGTGGAGACAGCATCCAAGCCCAGAGTTCAAGCCCCACAACCAAAACAAAACAAAACAAAACAATAGAGATCTAGCTGAAAGAACAGTTTGTAACTTGGGGCAGTTGTCTTAACTTTGTGGATCTTCATATCTTTTTCTGTAAGCAGATCTAGCTCTCTTTCACCTTTTTCTTTTTTTGTTGTTGGTTGTGGAGCCTGAACTCTGGGCCTGGGCGCTGTCCCTCAGCTCTTCAGCTCAAGGCTAGCACTCTTCTACTTGAACCACAGCGCCACTTCCGGCTTTTTCTGCTTATGTGGTGCTGAGGAATCGAACCCAGGGCCTCATGCATGCAAGGCAAGCACTCTACCACTGAGCCACCTTCCCAGCCCTCTTTCATCTTTTTCATTGGGGTGTTTAAATACTGTATTAGTCACTATAAACATCTATTAAAGAGATTTAGCTCATGATTCTGGAGGTCCAGTGTAAGATTGGGCAGCTCCATGCTTTGGGCCTCTGGTGAGGGTGACACAGTATGGCAGAAGCATACAGCAGAGCAAAATGCTGCCAGAAACAGGCAGAGACAGAGAGACTGGGATTGCACAATATTTTTTGTTGCTGTTGTTGGTCATGGGGCTTGATCTGGGCCTGGGCACTGTCCCTGGGCAATTCAGCTCCAGGCTAGCACTCTACCTCTCCAGCCACAGCACCACTTCTGGCTTTCTGAGCGGTTTATTGGAGATAAGTCTTGAGGGCTTTCCTGCCCAGGCTGGCTCCTGAGTAGCTAGGATCACAGGCACGTGAGCCACCGGCACCCGGCTTAGGCTTTCTTACTATAGTATCTTATTTGTGCTGTCATTGGTTGTGTCTCAGATCCTCCACTATAGCTTCACAAATCAAAAGGGAAACTGAATCTACAGTAGATTCCCGTATTTTCAACAATTCTGCCTTAGAGGCATTTTGTACGAGGGTTATAATAAGACAGCATAGCACATTGCCCTTCTGCTCACTGGCGCAGCTCAGTTCCTGCACTTGCTGCTCTATCCTGCCTAACTCTGCCTGCTTTGTGAGATCCGACTGTATTACTAATCCCAGAGGCAACACATGGGGGGTAACAAATTCAGCTAAAGATAGAAACTTCAAACATCTGTTTGTTGGCTGGGCCTTTTCCTCATGATATGCTTTCTTCCTTGAGTTGCAGAGCTTGAAAATAAAGTACAAATGGCCACGTAAAGATACCCTGGTGTCATCTGAGCAATCTTTTAGAGGAAATGCAATATGACTCTTAAATGACAACTGACCAAAGACTTCATTGACTGGGGGTTCATGTGGATATTGTGCTATACTCTTTCTTCATATGCACATTTCATCATCATATAAGAAAGGAAAATACAAAAGAAAGGAAAAAAAATCTAGCCATTGGACTCCAGTTACTTTTTCTTTCCTGTTTTCTTCTTTTTGCCAGGCTTAAGCTCTGTCCTTGAACTTCTTTTGCTCAGGGCTAGTGCTTTACCACTTGAGCTATAGGGCCACTTCCAGCTTTTTTTGAGTAGTTTATTGGAGGAGGTAAGAGTCTCAAGGACTTTTTTGTCCAGGACAGCTTCGAGCTACAATCCTCAGATCTCCTCCTGGAGTAACTAGGATT